TAAAATCATTGTTGGACCAGGAGCCAGTATAGATTGACAGGCACAGAGGATGATGGATAAATGGGACTTGGTTAAGATTCAAGCAGCAGAACCTTGGAAGGATAAGTTTCAATGCATGTCATTGTTACTCTAGATACTTAAAAGTAAAAAAAATCAATGCAAACAATGATTGACTGGCGAAAGTCCACTGGGCGAATGGGGGATTTCTTCAATCCACTATTGAATAAGATAACATGTCTAATACTGACATGAGTTTGCATATTTGAAACCTCAGTAAGAATTACAGTTTCTGCTAATTTAATCCCAGAAAGGCTGAAATTGATTTTCCTGCCCCCACTCCCAGGCATTTACAGATATTCCAATTAAACAGAAACGACAGCATAAATCAAACGAGAGCTCAGATTGTTAATGGATAGGAGCAACTCTCATAGGAGGGCAATTCTGCTTGTACGTATTTTTAATTTGTACAATTGCACACCCTTTGTTCACCCTTTATAATGAGTCTTCTGCCAGCCTGTTGTTTTACAGTAATCTACACACTTGCAGTTGCTATATATTTTTATGAATATGCAGGTTTTAAACTTGCCTATTTGCCACAAAATTCCACCAAATAATAATTCAATTAACCCACTTATCTTGTCTTTCACTAACCCTTTGCTGTTTGCCTCAGAAAGAATGGAAAAACCTGCATCCTTCACAACATTAAGATTTCGCAAAGCACTTTTTTATCAATGAAGTACATTTTTTTGACACTGCAATTTTAAGTATGGTTTGATGTAATTTAAAAAAGGCTGCAGCCTCTTTGAGTATAGTGAGATATCAAAACAGAAATGAGGTGTTGCCCCGGGTTAACTTGTATTTTTGGTTCTGCTGGACAGATAAATATTGGCTGGGGTGAACTCCCCTGTTCACCTTCTAACTTCCAGTCCGGAGTCTCCTGAGAGAGCAGGATGTGCCCTGGTTTGATTTCTCATCAAAAAGACTGCCTCTCTCATCAGTACAGAACTGCAATGGGATGTAGACCTGGGCTATGGAGTCACAGTGAAAACACAACAATGTTTCTAAACAGCATTTAGAAAATTATCAACTGACTAAAGCCTCTGACACTCTTCATAACGAAGAACCCTGATGACTAGCAGGGATAAGGCAGCACATACCATAGAATCCTTACAATGCAGAAAGAGGCCATTCAGCCCATATCAACCAAATGAAGAGCAGCCCACCAAGACCAAGCTCCCCACCTCTATTCCTATAATCCCACATTTACCATGGCCAATCCACCATAATCTGCACATCTTTGGACTGTGGGAGGAAACCAGAGCATCCGAAGAAAACTCACGCAGACACAGGGAAGACACCAAATTCCAAACAGTCACCCAAAGCTGGAATCAAACCCAGGTCTCTAGCACTGTGAGCCAGCAGTGCTAACCGCTGAGCCACAATGAACCATACAGCTCAGTGAGTCCCAGAGTCAGGTTAATCTTTTGCCTTTGATGAGGTTTCAATCCTCAGCAAGGATAGCCACAGGGATGGCCAGAGAGCCATTTGACTACAAGTGGAAAGCTCATCAGGCTTCCCACTCCTGGTTATTGCCTGATTATCACTTTGCTGAATTAATATGTGGATACAGAACAAGGGCTGGATCAGGTTGGTCTGTGATGCCTTCCATGGTCAAGTAGCCAGGCAGCCACTCCATTGGTCACTACATACAGAAAGAGCACAAATGCATCCAACAAAGAGCTTATCAGAAATGTAGCTCCACAATAGACTCCTTTCCCCACTCACTCTATAAAGATTATGAGAGAGAGATGAAGCTGCAAATACATTTACCTCTCCAACATCAACCTGTTACTTCAGTAGAGAGGAAGAGAGAAAATTAAAGAAAGGAATCATTTGAAATGGTCACAAAAGGATCTTGTAGAAAGCGAATAAGGAAATATTATTGAATTGTGGACAAATATTCACATAATATATATTTCTTCCTCTAAATAATGGTTTTGAAATTAAAATAACATGTAAATGCTGGGTGTGTCTGCGCTGAAATACACAACTGCTTTTAGATTACAACCTTCAGGTATCAGGTTTGTCTGTTTCATGCAGTTTTATTTGTTTTGCTGCAGCAGTGACCACATGGAGAAGGTCCTGATTATATGTAACACTGCACAGTGTGCCCACACGATTAAAGCTACAGGTTTATTGATAAGTAGCTAGCAGGAGAGAGAGAAACTTTGTGTATCATAAAGACACTCACAAAGTGTCTTAAAGTGGGCCCCTGCCCCAGGTTAGTCCAGTGGGGTCCACTGTCCATTTGCCTTCACTTCAGATATGATGGAAGAGGCCAACATTGATGTGGGGTGTTGAGAAGCCATGGGAAGAAAGACCTGTTTCCAGTGGCTTTGAAACATTTAATGGGTGAGGGATTTATGACGTGTGACACAGTGTTTCCTCAGGTGGGTTGCTACAGATGTAATAAACAAATTTTGATCTCATTTATAGGTTACAGGTGGGACTGAAATATAGACACTTGGTCACATAATATAGCCCACACAGGCTCATAAAACATGGGTTATTGAGGTCAACTAGAGTACAGTAACTTTGGACTGGTGCCAGTATAATTGTGCCTGTACTTCCTCAAGACATGAATCATCTGATGATGCAATAGAAGCTTGAATTATGGGCCCGAATTAAACATTAGTACATTATACATACGGGGAGCCAGTCAGAATAATACACTCAGTGGACAGCATTTAGCTGTCCCGTTATACACACATATAGAAATCTCGTAATCCATCTGTGGATCTAACACAAATGTAGCCAGACATCACTGAGCTGCTCCAAGCAAGATGAGGTCAGTCTCTCAAATGAGACTTTGTGGGATATTAATTAAGGAAGTAAAAAGAACAATGGGGCATTCCGTTGGTTTATTTAGACCCAACAGACTCTGTATTGAGATCCAGGTATATTTTTACTCAAATGAGATTTCCACGATAATTCCATCCAGTGACAATCAGCACCTATTTCACTCAGTCATCACCTGCTTTGATCTTCAGGGCTTAGCCACTACACAACCAAATTTTTATTAAATTTGTTTTTTTTGGGGGAGGTGGGGTGGGGGGGAAAGGTCATTGTGGTTCTTTCTCTCATCTACCAGCATGCAAAGAAAGAAATTTCATTTATATAACCTCGATGTCCCAAAGTGCTTCTGCCTTTAAAAAAGTACTTTTTGAAATGTAGACACTATTGTAATTCAGGGGATTGTCTCTGCTGGTTTTTACACAGCAAGATCCCATAACTCCAAGATAATCACAGAAATTTTTATGACACAGGAGGAGAACATTTGGCCCATCATGTCCAGTCCAATTTATCTGCCTTAGTGATGTTAATTGAGGGACAATTACAGGCAGGACTGCCAGGAAGGAGCATTGATCTCTCTGCGACTGAATACCCTCGGATCATTCACAACCACCTAAAGGACCACATGAGACCCAAGTGTAAAGTCTTATCTGAAAGGTGACACCTCTGAAAGTAATACGACACTGGAGTGGGTTATAAGCTCAAATATCTGGGGTGAGATTTGAACCCACAAACCTTTGACACCAAACATCAGAATGTTTCTCATTGAGCCATCAGGAGCACCCACGTTTACTACCACAGGTCATATCAGATATGAGTTTTCAACATTTTTCTAGTTCAGCACAACGTATGCCTTCATAATACACTGTACACCATTCAGCATGTCATAATTTATTGAGAAACTATCCCCAGCGTTAATCTAATATGAACATCTTCCAAGTACCCCGCACACCTTCCAATCATTCACAGCCAATCAACCAATAACTGTTTTGAAACCACGAAGATCTCACATTCTCTCGTAAGCATAGAAATCTCTCAATGCCGAGGAATAGCAATTTCTGCCCAGTGAACTCAGTGACCCTGCTGAGTCCCAATTTTAATAACTAGCATAACCAAATACATCTGAAGCAGGAGCTAGAGGACAGGGAGACAGAGACGGTGAGAGAAGGATGCAGAGACAGTGACAGAGGGACAGAGACTGAGAAAGTGAAAGAGAAAGAGAGAGAGACAGAGATGGTGAGAGAGAGAGATACTGAGTGAGAGAGAAGGAGAAACACATAGTGAGAGAGACTAAGACACTGAGAGAGAGAGAGGAAAACAGAGATAGCATGGGGGGAGCCAGTGAGAGAGAGGGTTACTGAGACAGATAGAGATTGAGAAAAAAAGAGAGCGAGTTTGAGATAGTGAGGGAGACTGAGAGAGAGGGAGACAGACTGAGAAAAGGAGACTGAGACTGGGGGCAGAGAGATAGAGAGAAGGGTACACTGAGAGAAAGGGGGGAGAGAGAAAGAGAGATAGACAGACAGAAGGAGACTAAGAAAGAGAGGGAGGGATTGAAATAGTGAAACAGGGAACAAGAGCAAGAGAAGTGGTTATGAGAGAGAATAATGGATGGGCAGAGAGACCAGATGAAAGGTAGATAGAGGGGAATGGGTGAGAGGAGAAGGCACAGAAGATACAGAGAATAGCTGAGAGATAGAAGAGAGGAGAGAGAAAGAGAAGACTGAGGGAGCAATGGAGACCAGGGGAGGAAAAAGAGGGTGAGAGAGGTGTCGGAGATGCGAGGGACATAAGAGGAGTCAGACCCCTCTCCCCTTCGGAACATGTGTGTATGTGAGGAGAGTGTTTCACAGTGAAACAAAACGGATGGACCCACCTGGGACTGCAGAGCGACTTGGGGGCTGTGCAGAGCCCGCTTCCCCGGGGCTCGGTTACAATGTAATAGACCGTGGAAATCATAGGCACCTTGTGTCACTGTGACAGTTTGTAACAAAACCCCGCTCTCCTGTTGGTAAGGAATAACCCCCACCTCCCCAACGCACACAGACACAGGCACAGAGAACCATAGGCTCCATTCCGAATCAAACCCGGAGCAACAATGAAACCAGTTGCCCGCACACATTTCCCCAGCGCGATGTGACACTCACCGCTACAATGTGGCACAGACTGGGAATGAGCAGGCACAAGCACAGCGCTGGGAGCTTGCCCATGGTGTCACACACAGAGGATGGAGAGCGGGGGCAGTTCTGCTGCAGGATCCCAGCTGAACACTGAAGGTTGGTGGGGAGGAGCCTCCTCTCTCCTTATTCTCTGGATGGAGGTGGTCTCGTCAATTTCACTCCGCTTGGTTTCCTGTCTCCCTGATCAATTTCAGCGATCCGGAGCCACCAGAGATCCGAGCCTTTCTCTCTCTCACTCTGTCTGTCTCTCTGCCTCCGCCGACTGCTCTCAACACTCCCCCTTCTCCCTCCCCTTCTCCCTCTCTCTCTCTCTCTCTCTCTCACACACACACACACACACACAGTGCTGATCCGCCCCTAACTCACTCCGGATGGAGAGAGCTCGTCCAGGAATTGTACACAATCCAACCTGCCCTCTGCAGGCTCTGCATTTATACACACCGTCGATTAACCTTCGTTTATTAGTTTTTTTTTAACATAAAGAAATCATTTCTGCTGTCTAAGGTAACCCAGCGTCTGTGCAGGAGACACTGGTGAATATTTCCCAGCAATTTCCTTTGTTTAATCTGCAGATTTTCCAGTATTTCACTGGGGGTTTGAAAATGATATAACTCTAGGTGTCCAGCTCATTGGATGAAACTCTTATCAAGGCAAAACTATTTATTTCAAAAAGACTTTCTGTCTCCCTGAAGTGCATTATTTGTATAAAGATGAAATAATGGAGGACGCAGTGGTGGAGAAAGAGAGAGAGTTTAGATCCAGCCCTGCTCTCCCCTCCTCAGTGCCTGACGGATCTCTTGAGTATTTCTAACATTTTCTGTTTTCATTTCAGATTCCCAGCATCCCTAATATTTTTGTCTGCATTAAAAGCAGAAGATTGGAAGCTGGAAATCTGAAATGTAAAAAAAAATTGCTGGTGAAACTCAGTAGGTCTGGCAGCACCTGTGGAGAGAAAGCAGTGTTAGCATTTCAGGTCCAGTAAGAACTAGGAGCAGAAGGAGGCCATTCAGCCCCTGATGCATGCTCTGCCATTTAATACATTCATGGCTAACCATATCTCAGCCTTAACTGCACTTTCCCTTCAGCTCTCTATAGGTTTCAACCCATTACTAATTAAAAATCTGCCTCTCTCCTCCTTAAATTTACTCAATGTCCTGGCATTCACAGCACGGGGGATGGGGGGCAGTGAATACCACTGATTCACGATCCTTTGAAGTTTCTCCTCATTTCTGTTGTAAATCTGCCACCCCTTCTTGATGCATAGGCCCCTGTCACTTTGGTCAAGATTCAAAAGGGGCTTTGCAAAGTGAATTGCATTGGGCCAGAGGGAGAAATATCACCAGGATATGGGAAAGAGCAGGGAAAGGGACACCTCTTTGAAAAGGGCGGTGCTGACTGGATGAGTGAATGAATATTCTGAGCTTTAGACCTTTTTCCTACCTTTTGGATGGTGATTGAATAATGAGAGCATGAAGTCACAAAATCTTGACTTCTATTGATAGGAATTTCAAAGGTAAATGGATGGTTTGAATCACCAAGGTCCACAGAACAGAAAAAGGCCTGTCAGTCCTTTGAGTCTATGCCAATCAAAAACAACCACCTAATCATTCTGATCCCATTTTCCAGTACTTGGACCTGAGTGGGAATGAATGAATAAATAAATAAATGAATGAATGAATAAATAAATGAATGAATGAATGAATGATTTATTGTCACTTGTGCTCTACAATGAACAACGCAGTAAAATACAGTGAAAAGCTTCAACTGTCACCGCAATCCACTGTCATTTTGAACAGTTTAAGAATAAAAAGAATGAAAAGATAGAAAAAGATATAGCTGAAAGAGAGATGTTTGCAACGTTCAAATATTTGAATAGCAGTAGGCACAGTGCAATTTCTTTACCCCACTCACCATCCAAACTAATTAGGAGCAGTAGTGGCCTTCAAGCCTGCTCCACCATTCAATAAGATCGTGGCTGATCCATTTGTGCTTCGAATCCCACACACCCGCATATGTTTGGTTCCCTTCAGTATTCAGACTGAGTGTGTCAGCATTCCCCAGTTCCCTGGATCATCATACTCCACCCTAAACCCCACTAGCCATGCCCGCCAAAGCATAAGGTGGATTCGTCTCCAGAACTGGACCTGTAACTGTTACTGAAATCCTATGACCTTTCAGTTCAGTATCCTGGTTCTTAAAGAACTATTTATCACTTACATCCTCTCATCTCCTGAGTATGTCATCCTGCTATAGTATTAAAATTCTTAGCCATGTTTCAAATCCTTATGTGGCCTGCCTTCCCCATCATTGTAATCTCCTCCAACCCAGCAAACCTTTTCAAAAACAATTGGGTGGATAATAAACGCTGGCTTTGTCTTACATCCCATTAATGAATGAAAAGATCTGTGCTCTTCTAATTCTGGTCTCTCAAACATCACTCAATTTAATCGCTCCTCAATGGGTGGCTATGCCTTGAATTCTGGAAATTGCCTTACTTCGCCTATTTCCTCTCAGCCCCTTTTTCCTCCATAAATACACTCCTCAAAACTTAACACTGAACAAGGCTTGTCTGGCCTTAATACTATCTTGCTCTTTACCTGGTTTGGTTTGACCATTGATCCTGCAAAGCATCTCAGTATGTTTTGCCATGTTAAAGGTGCTTTATAAAAGCCTCTTTCAACTCTATTCACGTCCCACCACCCCCAACCAAGTTTTGACCTTCCCATCTCACGCTCCCTTTTTTTAATCCACATTCTGAAAAGTCCAAAGCAAACTTGATTGAGTTTTTTTGAGGAAGTAGCCAAAAAGATTGATGAGGGCAGAGCAGTAGACGATGTTTACTTAGACTTGGGTAAAGTTCTGCATTGTAGACTAATTAGTAAAGTTAGATCATATGGGATTCAGGGTGAGCCTGCCGACTGGATACAAAATTGGCTCGACGGTAGGAGACAGAAGGTGGTGGTGGAGGGTTGTTTTTCAGACTGAAGGTCTGTCACCAACTGTGTTCCACAGGGAACAGTACTGGGATCACGTTTGTTTGTCGTTTATATAAATGGTTTGGATGAGAATTTAGGAGGCTTGGTTAGTAAGTTAGTGGATGACACCAAGAATAGTGGCATAGTGGACAGTGAAGAAGGTTATCTAAGATTATAGAGATCTTGATTAACTGGATCAATGGGCTCAGGAGTCGTAGATGGAGTTTAATTTGGATAAATGCGAGATACTGCATTTTGGTAAAACAAACAAGGCCAAGATTTATACAATTAAAGGTAGGCCCTGGGTAGTGCTGTAGAACAGAGAGACTTAGGGTTTCAGGTACATAATTCTTTGAAATTTGCATCACAGGTAGACAGGGTAGTTAAGACGGCATTTAGCATGCCTGCCTTCATTGCTCAGACCTTTGAGTGTAGGAGTTGGGACGTCATATTGAGGTTGTACGGGACATTAATGAGGCCTGTCTTGGAGTACAATATGAAGTTCTGGTTGCCCTGTTAAAGGAAGTATATTATTAAACTGGAAAGGGTTAGGAAAGATTTACCAGGATGTTGCCAGGAACAGAGAGTTTGAGATGTAAAAATACGCTGGAGTGTAGGAGGTTGAGGGGTGACCATGTAGAAGTTTATAAAATCATGAGGGGCATAGATAAGGTGAGTAGTAAATGCCTTTTCCATAAATTGGGGAATTTCAAAACTAGGGGAGATATTTTAAAGGTGAGAGGAGAAAGTTTTAAAAAGATATGAGGAGCAACATTTTTACATGGTTTCTGTGAAATGAACTGCCAGAGGAAGTGTTGGATGTAGATATAGTTACAAAATTTAAAAGACATTTGGTTCAGTACATGAATAGGAAAGGTTTGGAGGGATGTAGGCCAAATGCAGGCAGGTGGGACTAGTTTAGTTTGGGAACATGATCGGTGTGGACTGGTTAGACTAAAGTGTCTGTTTCCATGCTGTATGACTTTATGATTTTAAAATCTTGGAAAATTTCAGACATTAATGTTAAAAAGTAAAACAGATCAAATTAAGGTGTCTATCCAGGGCGATGTCACAATATTAAGCCATTTTTTACATACGTTGTCACGATAACACAAGAACATGATAACATGAGAACAAAGCTATTCAGTCCCTGCAGCCTGTTCTGTTGTTCAGTGAGATCAGAGCTGATCAACATATGTAATGAATAAATCATTGAACTCTTACATTGCAGAGGAGGCTATTCAGCCCATTGAGTCTGCACTGAACCTCCAAAGAGTTCCAACCCTATCCCCATAACCCCACATCTCTCATGGCAAATGTGCCTAACCTGTACATCTTTGGACTGTGGGAGGAAACCCACACAGACACAGGGAGAATGTGCAAACTCCACACAGAGAGTCACCCGAGGGTGGAATTGAACCTGGGTCCCTGGAGCTGTGAGGCAGCTGTACTCACCCTTAGAAATTCAAACCAAATATGAAACTTAACAATCCTTTATACATTTAGTTAACAAAAGTGGCAATCTCAAGTTTAATATTATCAATTGATTTTGCATGCACTTCCTTTAAATGAAATATGATATTTTAAAGGAAAACCACAACTTTGTTGGCCCTTTATGTATCATCAACAGTAAAGTGTTACTTTGTTATTTTTCTTAAAATCCAGGAAGGCAAACGAATTGTGGAGCAACTTGTTCATAAAGGATGCTTTAATTGTGAGTCTGTTTTTCTGTTAGCAGTTGTAAAACAAGCCCAGCTGTTTACCTAATCTCAGCGGGTAGTTCAATTGCAGAAAAGTGTGAGGTGGTAGAACCCTGTGAGGAATAACCAAGGAACTTAATACTCTGTGACAGGTGTCAAAACAGAGGAGGGTGAACATCAAAGAGATTCCGAGCTGCAGTCAATTTACTAATTAGCATGTCTAGCCAGTGTGGGGCACCAAACAACAAAGCAAATGAGATGTTGAAACACGAAGGAAGTCTTTATGTGGTACTGTACCTTTAAAACTGCGAAAAATCTCCCAACGCACTACACAATTGGCTGGTCAGCTCATGAAGGAGAATTGAGATCCAGGTGACCAGAAGCACCAGAAAATGTACAACGCAGGAGAAAGCTGTTCAGCTCCAGAATGAGTCTGAAGTCTCTCTGAAGATGTCAGCCAACACACCCTGCCCTTTTCCCGGCTGTTTGTTTCCCTTTTCAAGCATTTCCATTTCACAGTTTAGTTTGAGAGGTGGACATGAGGAAGGAGACAGAGAGAGGAAATTCTGGAATGTGAGGATTTAGGGATGGCATGGGGGAAGCAGAGAATGG